ATTCAAACTAGATGTGGGAAAAAGTATTTTATCACTTTTATGTTTATTTAATTCGAACCAAGGATGAAGCTTTGTAAATTTTCATTCAATATAAGAATGAAGTTAAAAATCAACTTGGTAAGAAAATCAAGAAACTTAGAAGTGATAGAGGTGGTGAATATGAATCACCTTTTAATGAATTTTGTAAAGAATATGGAATAATTCATCAAACCACCGCTCCTTACTCACCTCAGCAAAATGGAATTGCTGAAAGGAAAAATAGGACTTTAAAAGAAATGATGAATGCCATGTTAATCAGTTTTGGATTACCTCAGAACTTGTGGGGGGGAAGCAATACTTTCTACTAATTATATTTTAAATAAAATATCCCGAAAGAAAATGAATCAAACACCTTATGAATTGTGGCATGGAAGAGTACCATCCTACAAATACTTAAAAGTGTAGGGGTGTTTGGCTAAAGTGGCTATTCCTAGTTCTAAAAAGACTAAGATAGGTCCTAAGACCATTAATTGCTTTTTCATTGGTTATACCAAGAATGATAGTGCATATCAGTTTTTGATACATAAATCAGAACATTCCAAAATGTATGTAAATACTATTATTGAATATCGGAATGCATCTTTCTTTGAACATGTATTTCCAAATAAGACTAGACAAGAGATTAGTAACCATAAAAGATCTCATGTTACTATTACTAGTCAGGATCAAAAACATGATCAAGAATAAGAGTTAGATCAAAATGAGGAAGAGGAACCTAGGCGTAGTAAACGTGCTAGAACCACAAAATCTTTTGGTCCAGATTTCCTAACATTTTTGCTAGAAAATGAGCCTTTAACTTTTAAAGAGACTATGTCCAGTCCTGAAGCTTCTTTATGGAAAGAAGCTGTCAATAGTGAAGTTGAATTCATCTTGCAAAATCACACTTGGGAATTGGTAGATTTGCCACCAGGTTGTAAACCTTTTGGATATAAGTGAATTTTCAAAAGAAAATTGAAAGCGGATGGATCAATTGACAAATACAAGACAAGACTTGTGGTCAAAGGTTTTAGACAAAAAGAAGGTCTTGATTACTTTGACATATACTCACCAGTTAATAGAATAACGTCCATTAGAATGCTAATTACTATTGCATCTTTGTGCAATCTATAAATTCATCAAATGGATGTGAAAACCGCTTTCTTAAATGGTGAGTTAAATAAAGAAATTTACATGGAACAACCAGAAGATTTTTCTGTTCCAGGAAAAGAAAAGAAAGTGTGTAAATTGGTTAAATCATTATATGGTTTAAAACAAGCGCCAAAGCAATGGCATGAGAAATTTGACAAAGGATACTGTGATGCAAATTGGATATCAGATACTAGAGACTCGAAGTCCACCAGTGGGTATGTCTTTACTCTTGGTGGGGCGGCTGTATTTTGGAAATCTTCCAAACTGACTTGTATTGCTAGGTCTATTATGGAATCTGAATTCATAGCTTTAGACAAAGTAGAGGAAGAGGGAGAATGGCTTCACCATTTCCTTGAAGATATTCCAATATGGCTAAAACCGGTGCCTGCTATATGCATACATTGTGATAGTCAATCAGCTATAGGCAGAGCACAGAGTCATATGTATAACGGTAAGTCACGACACATTTGTCGTCGACATAACACCGTAAGACAACTACTCTCTAATGGAATTATTTCCATAGAATATGTTAAGTTTAAAGACAACATAGCGGATTCACTAACCAAAAGGTTAGCAAGAGAGTTAGTTGAGAATTCATCGAGGGGAATGGGACTTAAGCCTATTAAATAAGAGTTACCACAACGGCAACCCAACCTAGTTGACTAGAGATCCCAAGATCTAGGTTCAAAGGGACAACCGAGTTGTGATTGACTTAGAAGGATCACTGAGGACTCTAACTCCTACCCATTTCTATGATGAAATAGTGATGTTTGCAGCGTTTTAGGTTAAGTAAAACTTTTAATGATTCTTATATCTAGGTTAACCTGGTGGAGTATAGCAGGATACTCTTCATAAGAATCACCTATGTGAGTGTGAACTGGGCCGGTTCTATGAGATTTGTGAAGGGCTACAATTCTTTAGAGCACTCATGAAAGACCAGGTTGTTCAGGGCCAAAATGAACACAATAATGAGAGCTAAACTGTGTTTAGGGATATACTGTGTGAGTTATATTATCTTGGTTTACACAAACGACTGATCAGTTCAAGACATTATGTTCACTGGTTGGCTAGTAAATCCGATAGTGTCTCACAAGGGAAGGTTCAAAGCCAAAAGCTACCTATCCTTTGCAGAATATTTCCAATTTCTATACTCTCTGTATTTACATTATGTTGTTGCATTTTCTCTCTGTCAATTTCATTCATGTGGAGGATTGTTGGAAAATTTATAAGAAGGTAGTTGTGAATTGAAATAGAGTCCATTTTGAATGAAAGGGTGTAATCTTTCATGGTGTCTTTTTGTTTTAAAGGAAGGATCAAACCTCTATTTGAATGAAAGGGTGCAAACCTTTCATAGTGTCTCTTTATTTTAAAGGAAGGGGTATGTCCCTTCTCCATACCTTTTCTATTCAAATTGAATAGGTGCCAACAAAGCCTATATAAAGGCAGCCCCATTCCAATTTTGATTGATTCCGAAAATTCATTTTCCTTGCCTTCATTTTGCTCTCTTGCGTCCTTTATTCTTCATATTATTTTAGAAAAAATTTCAGAGAGTTATAGAACACAAGGTTCTGGTTCGTCGAACAAATTTGTTTGAAGTGCTACTACAAATTTGTGAAGATCATTGTATCCTGGGAGATAGACGCCACATAACCGTAAGCACCGTAGCGGGGCGAATCTGTCTTAAGGACAGAGTGTCACACACTCGACTTGGTCTTTAAATTATTGATTCGGTTCAACAAAATAAATTCTTTAAGTTTTATTTTATTTTGTTTGAATTTTTTTAAGTTATTTTATTTACACAGAAGATTGTTCCAACAAAACTGAGAACGGCTTGCCCCTTTCACCAATTCACTGTGCATAGCCGTTGAGCTGGACCCACCGGATGTTCGGCCGGATGTCCAACTAGATGACCTCTTTAAAGTAGAAATTTGTGAAAATTTACACTACGGGGTCGACCACCTTAGCATTTTTTTCAAGCAACAAAAATGAAGGCAAAAACGTCAAATTTGCTCTTACCGGTCGATCGGCCGGTCGACTCCCGGACGAACCTCTTTGTTTGATGCACGCTACAGTGAACGGTTGGAACTGTTGGTATCAGAATGAGAAAATTGGCTTCTTTTTACTCAAAATTTGGTGAAAAATGTGTTCAACCATTGGAGATGCTCTAAGAGGACACAAACTGTTCACAGAAGCTAATGTGCCTTATTTCAACAGATAAGTAAAAAAAATAAAAGAATCAAAATATAAAAAGCAAAAACAAAACAACATGCTTTTTGCAAAAAATTCTGTTTTCCATATTTTGTGTTAGTATAATTATTGTTTCGAATTTTATTCTCAACTTTGGAAAAATCTGTTAATGTGAAACTGCTTATAGGCATGTTTATCAATTCTAGCAAAAGTACTTAAAAATGTGTTTATCAAACGTGCTTCTTTGAAAATGTTTTTGCTAAATACACTTTTCAGTGGTTTGTGAATAAAGTTTAAAATATACCTAGTTATGTAATTAATTGAAAACAAAAAAAAACCTTAATTCGGGAAGTGAGCCCTCTTCTATTGAGTCCCAATTGCTGTACTTAACAGTGTATTTTAATTGGGTCCATTACCTTTCAGTTTGGCTTTTGTTGGTAATCGTTTTTGTAATGGATAACCAATTGTATATTGTTTATGTAAAACAGATTATTACTTTGGCAACAAAATTGGCATTCAAATATTTAATTTTTAATTTTTTTGGGTATATGAAAGGTTGGGAAGGGGGGAATCGAAACCTTAACCCCTATTAAAAAAATTTAGTCCATATACTAACAATTAGGACATAAGCATCGGCCAAATGGTTTGGTTTTAGTGTCTGTCAGTCACACTCATTCATCGATTATTCAATAGATTTCTAGAGGCACATGTTATGCTATTAGAATATATTTTTGGGAGAATTACATGTAGGTGGGAGAAGTGAAAAAAAATTATTAACACATGGAGCATTTGCACTGCACCCCATGTGTTTGTAATTATTTTTCCCTTCTCCCACCTGTAGTTCTTCCTATATTTTTCTGTTGGAGTGATTTAAACCTGATGGATTTAGGTTGTTTTGGCGTCCTTCATCTTGATGCATCATGATCAAGACATTACAGTGGACTTGTTACGTTAATGTAGTTGTTCAGATGATTGCTACACTTCCCTTTTCCAACTCTTTTCTTGGACAACATTGAACCAGAAGTGATGCTTCAAGGGGCAAGTGAATTTGGGGGCTCAACATAAAAGTTTCCGAGGGTGCCTTCACATATATGCTCAGTGAATTGGTTTTAACCAGATTTTTTGTATTCATCATATTCATTAAAAAATAAAAAAAATAAAAGAACAAAGCAGATGAATTTGCGTGTTTTTAGATTATAGAATGGAATTTCTGAGGTGGAGTGAATATCTTGAAGGGTCTTCTAAGTTTTAGAATGCAACATGATAGCTTGTCTCTTGATCTAGCCATTGACAAATTACGGGCACAATTGTGCAAATACGAAAACTATTATATTATGGTTTTGCTTCACATGGGTTGGCAGAGTACCGGAATGTTTCTTAAGTTAATTACAATTTTAAGTTCTGATATTCACACTGTTTGATTTCTTCACTTCTGAAAATGTCTTCTATTTGCCATTTTTAAAGATGCATGACAAAACCCCTATGAATTTTTTGTTCTTTCTTTTTCCAGTGGTAATTTTTGCTCCAGTCGTAGTTGTTGTTCTGGTTACTGTCAATCTTGTAGTTGTTGTTAAATTATGTATTGCTTGTAGTTGTTGTTTAGCTTGGTGAACATTACTGACAATCAGACATGGTGGTTATTTCAGTTAGGTGGAAAACGGGTTGGGATCATTGGGCTAGGAAGTATTGGATCCATGATTGCCAAAAGGCTAGAGCCCTTCGGCTGCATCATTGCCTACAACTCGAGGAGGAAGAAGCCAAACGTTTCATTTCCTCACTACGAAAATGTCATGGACCTGGCAACAAATAGTGATGCTCTAATTCTTTGTTGTGCATTGACAAACGAAACCCACCACATGATCAACAAGGATGTCATGACCGCACTGGGAAAGGAAGGCGTCATTATTAATGTTGGTCGTGGGGCCCTCATCGATGAAAAGGAACTGGTGCGGTTTTTGGTGAAGGGCGACATTGGAGGAGCGGGTCTTGATGTGTACGAGGAAGAACCTGAGGTGCCGAGAGAACTGTTCGAGTTGGACAACGTTGTTTTGTCACCACACAGAGCTGTTGCAACCCCAGAAGCATTTGTGGCACTGCAAGAGGTAGTCATAGCCAACATAGAGGCTTTCTTTGCGAATAAACCTTTGCCGTCGCAAATTGAGCTTGAATGAAAGTGATTATCTGTTTTTTTTTTTTTTTTTTTTTTAACATAATGTGACACATTTGAGATTTGTCAATAAAGGCATTATTGCTATAAGATCAACTGATGTTGAGCATCCACATACTTTTGTGAAGTTATAATTAAACCAAAGGAGCTAATGTTGGGGTTCAATTGCTAAATTGAATTCAGAAGTTTAATTTGGGTATTTTCTTTGATTATTGTGTTACCTTCTGCGTTGGCCGAGTTTGAAGACCAAGGATCTTCTAACATCAATTTCTAGTGTTTTTGTGTAGTTTTGGTATTTTTATTTTAAAATACTCAGCCTTCGTAGATTATTTGAGAATTCCGAAATATATATATTTCAAGATATAATCTAGTGAAGTTGGATCTCTTAAGCTCTCTTAAGTTCAAATTTGAACTTGCGAGAAGCTAAATGGGTAATTCTATTTTCATGTATTCAATCCTCTCAAGCATCTCGTGCATCAAACTTAACCTAAATTGAAACCAACCGCTTTAATATATGTTATATTTATAAAATATATATATATATATATATATAGCCCTATTTGGGATATATAGCTAATAAAGACAAGATTAATGATCCATTCACTGAATTTGTTTAATCCGAATTTGTCCGAATGAGACTCTTCCTAAAAACTCTTACCGGGAGAGTCTCATTCAGGCAAATTCGGGCTTAATATATTCAATGGATGTAAAGACAAAATATATTAAAATAGCTAATAAAATAAAATGTCACATCCAAATCATAAGAGGGATTTGGTCAAAACTCCTTGATAATAAAAGTTTAACACATTAAGGACAAGTACAAAAAGTTTTTCTTGAAAAGTTCAACATATACTACTGTAGAGGGTCAGAAATTAAGCCCCAAACTAAGTATGGACCCAAGCACTAAGATCGTCTTGAGAAGGCGACCAGGGATAAAAAAAGGAGCATGGGCCAAAGCCCAAGGGAAGTGGGCCAGCAAGTGGGCCAAGGCAGATCCGACCCACTAGGGCTCCAGATGGACTCAGGAAGGAAAAATGCCCAAGTCAAGTTGCAGAGGCAACGCCTGCAGTGGTGAAGTTGTGGAGGGAACATGTGTAGCGGTAGAATTGCTGAGGTACTTTGCCTCAGCGCCGCCATTCCTATTAACTTCGGTTCCGCCGCCATTTGAAGATGCCGAGGGAACATGTGCAGCGGCAGAATTGCTGAGGCACTTTGCCTCAGCGCCGCCATTCCTATTAACTTCGGTTCCGCCGTCATTTGAAGTTGCCGAGGAAACATGTGCAGCAGCAGAGTTGCTGAGGCACTTTGTCTCAGTGCCGCCATTCTAAGTATCTTTGGTGTCGCCGCCATTCCAAGTAATGTCGGTGTCACAATCATCTGGAGTTGCCGAGGGAAAAAAAAGACCGAGGCAACTAAGTTGCAGAGGCAATACTTGCAGCGCCCAAGTTACGGAGGCATTCTGTTGGTGCCGCCACCTCTAATATCTTCGGTCATGCCGTCTGAACTTGCCGTGAGAAATGACTACCGCAGCAACTAAGTTGCAGAGGGAATATCCTGCCAAGGTGATAGCAGCCTTTAAGAGAGGCTTCCCTCTGCATGTAGAGGCTAATGCAAGGCACTCACAGCAGGCCCCAAAGCATTACTGGCCTAGGGCTGATAGCAGGCCCCACAGTTCATTTAATTTGGCGCTGATAGCAGACCCCAAGACTTACTGGTTGAAGCTGATAGCAAGTCCAGAGATACCAGTTTACCATGACAACCCCGCGTATAAGGGACTCCCTTTCCATTACCCAAGTCATGGACCTGCCTTAGTCGTAAAGGCAGGACTAAGGAAGCCCTCTTGGGCTTGGTACTAAGGCACAACATGGCTGATAGCAGGCCTGGCTGTGGCCTTCACCTTGGGAAGCTGGGGAGTTTATGGTTAGGTAGCTAAGGGTGGAGGTTTTGCTGGGGTGAACAGGAACATGGCTGATAGCGGGCTATGGAGTCTTGAGAAAGCATGTATTGGCCAAATAGAACTGAGAAGGCAAGTGTAGCGGCAAGGTTCACCACTGCAAGTGCACTTGCTAAGGTTCACGCTGAGAAGGCAAGTGCAGAGGCAAACACTCCCGCTTCAACTGCACTTGCTGAGGCTCAAAAAAGGTAGTTGCGGAGGCAAACAGATAGTACATAGTACATGCAGAGGGACACGTGGCACCTTCAGTCTGGTGGCTCAAGGCAGAATATTCCATGTGATCCCCTGGGACACATGTTTTCTCTTTATTTGGCCATTTGGTGCCCTCTTGATGCCAAGGGAAAGCCTATAAATAGGACCCATTTCCCAAGGTTCAGCAAGAAGAATTTTGGGGATTTGGGGGAGATGCTGCCCATTTTGGCACTGTCACACACTTCTTCTTGAGCCATTTGCTTCACCCTTACCTAGCTACACTCTCTCCAACTCCCACACAGTTGTTGCTACTCATTCTCTAGCCACTTTCGCACATCAGTGGACCATTAGCATAGTTTTGCCTCTCTAATCACCTCCCTAACCTTGAACCCCCCTACATTTCTGGCTGCTCCACTGGGGAAGGCTGCTTTGTTGATGGTTCATACCCGCAGTAGCTTACACATTTCACTAGAAAAGATGGCAGAGGATGAAGTTCAGTAACTCCGACTGTAGCAAGGCTCTTCCAATGGCGAAGGAGCACATGCGGAGGACCATGACCACAGTGCTGTGGTTGAGGCAGTTCAGTCACTCCAGGATACGCAGAGGGAGATTTTGGCAGCTTTGCAAACTGTCACTGAGGCTATCATGGCCATGGCGTCTAGACCAGCTCCAGTGCAAGCACCTCCTCCTGTAGTAGTCCCAAACTCAGTGCCTAACCTTTTCCTTGAGGTTCGAGCTCTAATCCAGGTGCCTTCGGTGGCACCTCAGGTGAACGGTACAGCCTCTGGTTCAGCTACCCAGGAGTAGACCGGACCATTCCAGCCCACTCACTTTGTTACCCTAGCTGATGTTCAAGCTATGCTCGAGCAATAGCATAGCAAAAAACAACTATTGTCTCTTCCCGACCCAGATGTGAAACCCCTATACTCTCAAGAGATATTGACCATGCCCTACCCAACTCGGTATACAGTGCCCAAGTTTATTAAGTTTGGTGGAAAACAAGGCAATGCCAGAGAACATGTGGTGAGGTTCATTGAAACTCTTGGTGTCCATGGCAGTGACCACTCTCTGCGCCTTCAGGAGTTCTCCAAATCACTTACTGAAAGGGCTTACAGTTGGTATGTGAACTTGGCTCCCAACTCAATCAAGAGTTGGGAGGAGACGGTGAACAAGTTCCATACGAAGTTCTTCCAAGTCCAAGAGAAAGTTACAACTCTCACACTTGGGCGAGATGTCCAAAAAGAAGGCAAAGATATATTGGACTATGTTAAGCGGTTCCAAGACAAGGTTATTGACTGTCATGAACCAGTGGATGAAGCTCACTTAGTCAGTATATGTGTGGAGGGTGCCATACGCAACTACAAAATTTTCTTGGTGAACCATAATCTGCCTACCTTTTCAGCCTTGGTTGAGGCAGCTAGAAACCTCAGTACCACTGGTCCTTTACATAGATCTTGTGATAGCCATCGCTATTCCCGCAGTAGCAGAATTGCTGCGGTAACCTCTAAAGGAGGAAGCCGCTCGCAAGCAGAGGTCTCGTCTTTTTGAAAGAGGAAGAGTTATGAGGACAAAAATCCATATCATTCCAGCCTTGAGAATGTTAAGGCCTTGGTTAAGGAATAGGTCGCTGATGGTGAACTTACTTTGCCTCCGGTTGATGTTACTCTAACCAAGAAGGACAAAGATAGCCCAGATTATTGTGTCTATCACAGAACCATCAGACACCCCACTAGGGACTGCTGGACGTTGACAAATATCTTCAAAAAGAAAGTTGACGCGAACGAGCTGAAGTTCAAAGATGTCGGTAATCGTGGCGTACAAAAGGACCTTTATCTTAACCACAAGAAGAATGGGAAGAATGTACATATGATTGGCTATCTTGGGCCTGTGCGCGATCAAGTGCACATGTTGTCCTACTATGATGAGTTAGAAGAAATCGCAACTGGCCAACTCCTTGAAACAGTACCTGCAGAGGCGAAATTCGCAAAGGATACTCATGCTCAAGCCTTGCAAAATTCTATCAAGTTTCACACCTTCTTTGACCAACTGGGCCTGAGCTAAGCCGCCAGGATAGAAATAACAAAGGCCCTCATCAATATCTCTGAAGTGCACCATGCCGAAGTTACTGAGGCTAAGGAGAATAAGCCTCGGCGCATCCAGGAAGATTATGGGGCCATTATTTTTTCAGAAGCAGACAGAACATACCCTTTTCCTTATAACTGTCCTCTTTTTGTCACAACTTACATCATTGATGTGGAGTTCAAGCGTGCTTTCCTTGATGGTGGGGCATCCATAAACATCATTACCGTTGACACCTTTGCAAAGGCTGGTATCCCGGAGTCCAGAATGGTTCGCCAACCTATTACTGTAACGGGTTTTGGTGGTGAGAAAAAGGTCACTAAGGGCCATGCTGTAGTGGACTTAGTAGTTGGCGAGCTTCGTTCTGCGACTAAGTTCCATAGTTGGGAAAACGCACAGTTACCATAAACGCGTCTGAAAAGCCATTCGGAGTGGAAGATGCACACTATTTAGATGCAGTTTTCTTTACTGAGTCGTCAACGGATAAAACTCCAAGGACTGGTAAAATTGCAGGGGTAAAATTGTCAAAATGGGAAAACATTTGAGATGTAGAGGTTGCTCCAGAAAGCAGTGGATAGAAAAAGGAGCAACAAATCCACAAGTCCTCCACCCAAGATTGTCAAGGTGCGCGAGGGCGGCAAGACAGTTTACTACCTATGACGGTCTTGGGGGCCAGACTTCATACCTTGGGAGGATGGCCCCAAGACAAATAAATGTGACGGTAATGAGTCCCAAGAAGGGTTGGTGGAGACGCCTGAGCCCACCCCTGCATGCATGCAAGATAGGCCCAAACCTCAGTAGGAGGTACTTGTTGAGGTCAATCTCAGTGACTTACCTGGGCAGAGCAAGCCTATCATGCCTCAAACTCGCCCCTAAAAGTTCGGGCATGACCCATACAAAAACGGACACTTAAGCTGATACACATATCATATGGGGCCTGAACGGAAGCACTTAATATAATAAAATAACACAGA